CCCCCAGCCTGTACTGATGCATGGGGTTGTTCCGCCGCAGGTGCAGGACCCTACGCTTGCCCTTGTTGAACCTCATTATGTTCCTCTTCGCCAGCTCTCCAGCCTGTCCAGGTCTTGATGAATGGCAGCACAGCCTGCTGGGGTGTCAGCCACTCCTCCCAGTTTAGGATCATCAGCAAACTCACTGAGGGGGCACTCTGTCCCTTCATCCAGGTCATTGATGAATATGTTGAACAAGACTGGACCCAGTACTGACCCCTGGGGAACACCGCTAGTCACAGGCCTCCAGCTGGACTCAGCACCACTGATCACAACTCTCTGAGCTCTGTCCTTCACCGAGTTGCTCCTACCCAATGTTCTGAGTTATGGCAGCCCCAAGGCATGAAGCAAATTATAGTCTCAGGAATACAAGTCCAGGCAGCTCAGTGCCTTTTCATATTTGTTGCACTGTTGAAGCCAATTAAATCGAGACTTACATGGAGTCTTTGTGCTCTGAACTTCACACCTGTTCCAAAATTTTATCCCCACAACCTTTTACTTCTTGCTTCCTTGTATTGATGACACCTGCAAGGACCACAGCTGACTCATCCCCAGTATTTCCTAGGAGCTTCCTCAGACACATTGTTATGTTAGCCAAACTGAACTGCAGGAAAATCCCCATCCATTACTCTCTTGAGCCTCAAATCTTGCTGCCCATGTGCCTGATGGCTGAGTTGACTACCCTTAGACTTTTAATTTGTATACTGCCTCTTCTTTTTGCCCAGCATCCGGGCTTCCAGAATATTGTTTTTTTTTTTTTTTTATAGAAATCTGTGTGGCCATTTTTGATAAGGCAGACCTATTGACTATCCAATTTGATGGTCTTCAGCTCTTTAGCCACAAAAAAGGACAAGAGGTTGGACTGCTCTTGGACACCCTTAGATGACTTCTGAGTTATATTATTTGTCTCTCTCATTTTCTCTTGCAACACCAGGACTACTCAGCTGGATATGAAATAGTTCCACGGTTTCTTAGTTCTTCCAGTTCACCTCAAGAAAAAAACCTCTGTCCCCAAAGACTATAAAGTGCTTGCACTTTGCATGTATGTTTGGCACCTTGTCACGGTCCATATCCCTGATGACAAGGTTGAGACAATGCTGTTTTCGGACTGACTCTTACACACCTGTCTAGAGGATGAGTAAGCATGCATATGATTCACAAACAGTAAGTCAGGAAACATACACCTGCTGTCACTTTGTTTTGAACTTGCTGAATTTTACTACTTTGCACCACATGAATGTGGTGTTTTCAGCAGTTCTGCATCTTAGTATCTTAGTTTTGGCATATCTAGGTGCACACAAGAACAAGGTCACATTAGGAGATGATAGAGAGTCTAGAGTATACTCCAGAGAGAGGAAGCAGAAGTAGATTTTAGTTGATTCTTGCCTTATCTATCATCACTGAAAAAGCACTTACTTGTTTCTGCACCAGCGTAGTTAGAGAAAAGGAAAGACAGCAGCTTCAGGGATGATTTTTGGTACAGCCCCACAACAGTTTCATTTAAGGGATCCTTGTTCTTATCAAGCCAGCCAGAGATGTTGTAGTCCACCGTGCCAGCATAGTGCATCAGTGAAAAGTGGGCCTCAGCCTTGCCTTTGACAGGCTTGGGCTTCTGGAAGTTGTTGGACTTGCCCAGGTGCTGGTCATAGAGCTTGTTCTTGAAAGAGGTGTCAGTTGCCTTGGGGAACATGCACTCCTCTTCCAGGATGGAGAAGATCCCCATGGGCTGGGAGAAATATGAATATATGAAGAAAGTAAGTGGTAGGGAGAGGAAAAGTAATTAAAATGTCACCTTGCATATGATTTGTGGCTTGTTGCAGTGACTGTAATTTGTACTGCATAAGTTCTTAATACATCAGTAGTTACTACAATAGTCACGCAAACTGTAATTAGTCTGTTGCTCAAGTTACTATTCATGGACATGGCAACTTGACAATACTGTTTACATGCATCTTTGAAAGGATGTATGTATTCTAATCAATTGTTTTAATCATCTTTACCCTTCATCATTAGGGAATAGGTTTCAGCATGCTGTTTGCAGGACTGATGCTGTTGTGTATGTTACAAGCAATGAGGTTGCAATTGTCAATGTGAACTTAATTTGATGACTCCTCAGGAATGCGCATAGATAACTAATATCTAACAGCTCCTGGTCTGTCTCCAGTGAATGTGCGTGACGGATTCGATTTTCCTCACCTTATATGGAGCATAAATGGCAATAATCTGGCAATTTAGAATACCCATAGACTTTTCATTTGTCTCAGAATTGTATTTACATTGGAAGTGTTTCAATACAGAGATGTAGGTACATTCTCAGCAACATCAGAGCTTTCATCTGAGCTGCATTAGGTATCTTCTGATTGTGCAGATAAGCACATGTCCTCTGATTTTGCTGGAAACACTGATGTGGTCTGCACTTCATTGGCCTAGAGAGAATTCTAGTAGTCCCTTCTTTGTATGAATGTTTGTTTGTTTGTTTGTTTTAAAAGATGCCATTAGATGCTTACATCTGATTTCAGCTCGATAGCTGCTCGAGCTAGAATCAAGGATCCTCCAGAGCAACAGCAACCACAGGAGGTGGATGCTGGACAGGAATGCAAAGATTTTGCCCTCTTGGTGTGGCTGCTGTGTGAGAGCTCTGGGGTTAGCATTCATCTTGCCTGACTGTAGGTGTCTATAAAACAGAATCTAGATCTGTGTTAGCTGTCCAGATTGCTTTTCTATAATGGAAGCATTAAAAAGACATTTTACAGAATCACTGGCAGAACACACTTTACAAGGAGATGATTTGCATCCTAGAAGTGTCTACTTCTTTCCTGTTATTACAAAAGAGACTATAGTGTTAGATCAGCATGGGTGTTCCTCTGGCTCTTAATACTCTGTATTGCATAGATATGGGACACAAAATGTGTGGTCCCTGAACTGTAAATGTGGATTTTGGGTGTTAAATATAGCAATAGGCAACAGGCACTAACTGTGGATGGTAGCGCTGCCTATAGATGCTGCTATGTGGTGGTATGTGTGGGAGATTGGCACGAAATGTGAGGCTTATCTGTGCAAAGGCATAACCTATGTGTATGAATATTAAGCAGTGAACATGCATGTGGGATGGCTGAATCAGTCCCTGGGCATGAATGATAGGGCTGGGAGCAGACACTTGTACGCTGTTGAGAAGGAAAGTGTTTGGGTATGTGATACTGGATTTGCACATGATGTGTAAGTAAGTGCTGTGCACAACCACTGGACACTGGCTTGTAATGTAGCGGTGAGGGGTTAATTCCCATTAAGATCCCCAGTGCAGCAGCAGTGGGCAGCGACAGAGGGGCCAGAAAGTGTTGCGCTGTTAGAACCAAGAACTTAATTCTATCCATTACAGCAAGGAGTAAGACTTGAGGTTCACCTTACTATTAAAGGCAGTCTTGTTAAAGGCACCAAATGAACATCATGTACCCCCTCTCCATTCCACCCCAGCCATGTTGTTCAGGAAATCATTATTTGTGCAGAGGGCAGCCTGTCATTCAAAAGCTTTGGTTTTATAAACTGCCTCTTCTTATGTGAGAAGGTCATTCAACAGTAATGTGTCAATTTATTAAGAATGACTGGACTAAAATAAATGACCATGAAAGAAATGTGCTCTCCTAAAATGAAAACGTTTCCTCTACCTTCTCAATGAGCTCTATGCAGGCAGCCAGGTCCATCCCAAAGTCAATGAACTCCCATTCAATTCCTTCCTTCTTGTACTCCTCCTGCTCCAGCACGAACATGTGGTGGTTGAAGAACTGTTGCAGTTTCTCATTGGTGAAGTTGATGCACAGCTGCTCCAGGCTGTTGAACTGCAAATTCAAAATATAAAAAAATGACAGTTAGTTTGGAAAAGTCATCAGTGGGCAAGCATACGTACTGTAACTCACGTCAAAAATTTCAAAGCCAGCAATGTCCAGGACACCAATGAAATGCTGTCTGGGCTGCTTTGTATCCAGCTGTTGGTTGATTCGAATAACCATCCATAGGAACATCTTCTCATAAACTGATTTAGCCAATGCACCCACTGAATTGTATACCTGTAAGAAACACAGCCACAGCAGTAATGAAAGTTGTGTTAGCTTTAAAGTTGAAAGAACTGCGTGGATAACATGAAAAGCTGATCTGCTGTCTAGGTACCTGTTGGACATTTTGTCCCTTAGTTACATATTCATTCCCGACTTTCACCCTGGGATAGCATAAAGCCTTGAGCAAATCAGCAGAGTTCAGACCCATCAGGTAGCCAGCTTTGTCAGCCACTAGGATCAGAGATAGCAAATGAGTTCAGAAGAGACAAAGAAATGTGTCCTGGTCCACGGGGGAGTTTCTGTTAGAAGGAGCCTATTTTTGGTGCATTTTTCAAATGCACCTGTTGTCAAAGGAAGCTCTTTTCCAGTCCCATGGAGAATATTTTCCCCCCAACACAGGCAGCGTCTCAGCTGCAGCACACTTCTGTTCCACACCTGGAGGGCTGCAGCAATGCCCTGTCTCTGTGTCCTTCTGTTTCCTTGTGCAGCATAAATTAAATCATTGACTTTGTGGAACTTGCAACAAACTTAAAAGATTTAGTTTCTGGAAGTGAAAATAATTCTCAGTGTTGGGACTTTATGGGACGGGGTTGCTAGCTTGTCTCCTGGTGCAGTTCAGAAGCAGACTGCACTCAAGGGTACCTTCTGTGCTGTCCGGCTCTGCCTGCTCCTCCCGCTGCTTCTGCTTGAACTTCATGTTCCCGTAATGCATGACGGCCCCCGTCAGCTTGTACATCCCCACCTTCTCGTCGGGGCTGAAGCCGAGGATGTCTACAGCACTCTGCAGAGGCGACAGGCGGGTTGGGAAAGGCCGGAGAAGCATGAGGGCTGACGTACAGGTCCCGTTAGCAGGCACGTGTGCCGCGGTGGGAAGGTGGGCTTTCTGCCCGCCTCCCCGCCCACCCCCAGCATGTGCGGCACCGCCCGGCCCTGCAGCCGCTGCGGGGTGGCAGAGCCCGGCGCTTGGCAGCGGAGCTCAGCGCTTGGCAGCAGAGCTCAGCACTTGGTGGTAGAGCCCGGTGCAGCCCGAACCCCGGCGGCAGCCAGACTGCGAGGCTGCCCTGCCACCCTCCGCTGCACTCACATCTGTCGCCAGCAGCTCCTCACTGTCGTCAATACTGGCAACGGTGACTTCTCCTTGGCTTACGTAGGGGAAGTCGTAGGGGTTGGTGGAGATCAGGAGGAGATCTGCAGGTAGAGAGGGCACCTTTGGTGGCACCGGGTCACAGTGGAAAGAGAAGGTGCTCGCTGAGCCAAGCCCAGCACCGCTGGCACCCACCAATGAGCTCTGGCTTCTTGTTGGACATTATCTGGTAAAAAATATGATAGCTCCTTTCACTGGCCAGCTGGAAAGTCACTCTGGATTTCTCCAGAAGATCTAACGGAAAGAGATCTAACGTTAGTGTCCTGGTAAACTGGAGATCATAAATGCACAAATTTCACGTACACTGACTTGCTCCAACTCACAGGTTTCGATATCCGCGGAGGCCAGCTTGCCAGTTGGTCCAAAGTGAATCCGGATGAATTTTCCCTATCAAGCAGTACAGATCAAGCCATTGGTTATAATGATCAGTGAATAAGACATGTATTAGATGTCTGCATTCCAACAAATCTGAAATGAACTCACGAAGCGTGATGAGTTGTCGTTCCTAACAGTTTTGGCATTGCCAAAGGCCTCCAGCAGTGGGTTGGCCTGGATGATCTGATCCTCCAGGGTTCCCTAGTTACAGTAAAAAAAGCTTCTTATCAAACTTCACTGCTGGTTAATAACAAATATTGCAAAGGAGATATTACAAACAGATCATTTTACACTTCATACGTGATTTTAACCTAAAATTTAAGCAGAGTTTTTAAGCACTCAGCAGCCATCACTCATGAGTATTGCCATTGGTTTCAAAGAGAAGGGTGCTGAAAAAGAGATCTGTATTTTGTTTCCTTCTTGTACCTACTATCATATATTTGGTATCATATACAGATTCACTACACTGGAGTTTGAAATTTGTATGAGAGAGCTGCTTCCACATTCCCATTCATGAAGGCCATGACAGCTAAAGAAAATGTGAAAACTCTGGGATTTTTTCTGGAGGTTACTCAAGCCCAGGACGCACAGAGACAGGTGCAGCCTTTAGTAGGAAGCACCTAGCAAGGGAGAATGTAAGGTTTTGCAATTGTATTCAAACAACCAGCAGCCTTTCAGAATGCAGAAATACATCTCCAGACGTGCTTCGAAAAGAAGAGTGGGACATGGACAAAGCCTGAGACTCAAATGCCAAACTTGTAAAAGCAGAGAACAGAAACTCTGAGTTTTTTGCTGCATGACTGCAGAAGGAATGATCAACATGTAAAATTTCGATATTGTATCACTGTTGTTAATGGCAAAAATATGGGAGGAAAGAAGCTTCTGTGGTGTTACGTCTCTCGTATTCTGCGCAATACGCTCCAGGAAGCAGAGTCACTGTGTGCTTTTATGGAATGATAGAGCAAAGCTTTTCTCAAGGCTTCCAGCAAAGTCGTGATTGATCCCTGTGTAGTCGGGGCATGAAAGTTTTGCCAGGGATAGTTTTCAAGAGATGGAAAACAAAGAATGAGAAACAAAAAACACACGTTTTTATCCAGATGAAAGGTGAGCAGCCCAGCTCAAGTTGCTGCATCTTTGTAAGTGCTGTTCAGTGCAGCCTTTAACATCATGCAGTGGAGAGGATGTGCCATTCCCAACGCTGTCTGCAGATGGCACAAGGGGTTTACATTAGTCCACCATGAAGATGGATCCTATAAAATTAAGGCAACACAGTACCATATGAAGCTCTTTATATATATTTTTTTTTTAAATAAAAAATCCCAGATCTCTAGAGTAATGCCCTCTCAAATGTATCTTTCAGCTTTCTAAATCAACTTCCTCATTTAAAAGAAGAGAAGTGTGTGTCAGTGCAGCTGAATACACCAACATCAAACCTCTTTTTAGTGCACAGCTGCGACCACGGAACTCACAAGAGAGCATCGTGCATAGAGGACAGCATGGAAGAAGACATGGCAATTCTGGAGTCCTGTCTACAGGCTGGGTGACAAAGTGCTGGAGGCTGAGACAGTATTCTGGGGAAATGCTCTTACATGCTTCCCTTATGCATACACTTTCCTGGCTTCTGGTTTCAGCCTGCGTCTGAGGTAGGAGGCTGGGCTAGACAGAACTATAACCTGACTGTTTTATTTAATGTTCTTATGAAGAGGCACATACTACTGTTACAGAGACTATGAATACAAACAAACAAAAAGTATTCTTTGAATAAACTCAGAAGAGGGCAGAACAGGTTGCTGCCATCTGAGACCCAGGTGATTTTCCTTATATCAAACATGGTCAGTAAATCTCTCAGCTGTCTCAAGTTTTTCCGAGATGAGTACTGGCATAATGAGCAGCTGGTGAAAGCTGAGCCCAGGAGATTCTGAAATGGTGCTGATGGAAAGAG